TTGCGACCTTTAGGGGAGATACACGGAGCGGAAAATATTCTATGAATATCAAAATTGCATTTAATATGTTTCACGACAAGGAAGCGAGATACTGATTTTGTACGTTTAACGTTAAGAGATTGGATCTTTTTTCTTTTTTTTTTATAGGGTAAGGGTGACAAGGGCTGAGTGTGGCCCATAGACATCTACATTTCATCCTGATTAAGAATCGAAATTCAGTTGCGTTTCACACTATAAGACTGAATGCCTCGATTCCAGTAAAACGGGTGTCCGGTTCTCCACACCCACTATACGAACCACAGCAGCATTAAGCTATGCTATTTGCTATTTTACGCTGGTATTCAGTGAGAGCATAGTCCTTACCCGGTCGAGTCGACCCATTCTAGAACCGTAATGTCTGCAGCGTGGCTCTACCACGTATGAAAACTATTTTAGAATTTACATGGGTTTGTTAATGATTATCATTACTATCATAATAATCATTAAAACTGCTCAAAAGTCCACTCCTGTCAAAGCACGGTCCTAAGCCACCTGCATCCATCGACTTCCTGCATGTCTTACCAGGTCGTCACTCCATCTAGTAGGAAAACGCCCTATACTTTACCTGCCGGTACAAGGCTGTCAGTGCTGCTGCCTGTAAATTATTATAAAAATATAATATGCAGAGGTTGGTAGGCCTCTGCATCTGCATCCATCGACTTCCTCTGCATATTATTTGCATATTATTAGCAGCGGTAACAGCCTTGTACCGGCAGGCGAAGTACATACAGTACTTTACCTGCCGTAGTACTTTGTGACATTCCTTGCGGGAAGCCTATATTAAGGAGTGGACTTGTGAGAAGCTTTGATCAAACAATAAATGGATTTTAATTCAAAGTATATAAAATAATAAAAATCGGACGTTAAAAAGTAAAATAATAAAGTAATTTACACGATTAAGATAATGTTTAATTCGTTTAGTTTTTAAAGTCAGTTTTTTACTATTTTTTTAATTGTTTAATAAGTATTTTACCCCCTTTTTATTGGAGTCTAATATCACTATACAACTAAACAAATATTGCATCTAAAAGTAAATTTAAGTTACAGCGTAAGCGTCTACGTCATATATACGTCCCACTGCTGGGCACAGACCTCATCTCATTTCTGAGAGGTATAAGTATAAGTGTCCGCCGCGCTGCTCCAAAGCGTTTTAGCGAGCTTCACATGTCTACGCAATAATTTTTTCTTATTCCACGGACATGCTGGTTTCCTCAAGATGTTTTCCTTTACCGCCGTGTACGTAGATAATCAGCACTTAAAAATGGAATTGACAACTTCATTGGTGCCGGCGGGGATCGAACCCGGGATGCTCGCGTACTGTAAAATGTACAGCGAGCGTTTAGCCCCTGGGCTCCCACGGTAATAGTTATATAATAAAGTTCATCTCTTATTTTTTACAGTTGGGGGTAGTAAGTTACTAAAACTTTACCTGACATATCCCATAGTCGCCTCTGTCGCCGCAAATAGCGAAATGGGGGGAGTAGGACTCTTAGAATGTTACCAGTCAACTGTTATGTAAATATTAACATTTATTTCGTTAATCCATCCATTGCAAGCTGTAAAAGTCCTCTACTGAATATATCCTTTCCCCATAGAGTGCCTCATGAACTAGTATAAAACGAATCGTGTTTTATATAGAAACCAGGTATTAATCATCACAATCGACAGGTTAAAGGTCGCAGTATCAAACCTCTTGCACGCCGTAGCCGTAACCGGTCTTGGTATTTAACGTCGTACGTAACGTGACGATTAAGAATAATCCTCCCCCTCCCCAAAATAGGGGAGGCTCAGCATTGGACTAACGAACTAACTAATGAATGGTCCCTTGACGTTGTAGAGCTACGCTGCAGTTATGTTAGTTGTAGCACTAATGGATCGGCTCGACTGGGTAAGGACCACGCTCTCACAGAATACAAGCGTCCAGTAGCAGCTTAATACTGCTATGTTTCGTATGGTGAGTGTAGAGAACCGGGGACGCTTTTAACTGGAAAAGAAGCATTCCATCTTAATCCTAAGGGGGGACAACGCATGTGCATTTTGATTCTTAATCGAGAACAGATGTAGAAGTCTACGGGTCACTGTATCCACTTACCATCAGGTGGATTTAGTACTCGAGTGTCATCATTATTCTATAAAAAAATCATTATGTTTTGTATGTTATTTTGTCAACCTGCTACAAAAAGAAGAAAAACAATAAAAATACTCCTAAAACTGACATTTAACAAAATCCCAAAGGTAAGTGTTGAAATATGGCAACTTAAATTTATAAGAAATATTCAACAAGTCAAGAGGAAGATTAATGAATAGAAAATTAGTTGCACAAACTAAAATCAAACAATACCCGCAGCCCTTTCCGCCCTCGTGAAGAAATTAAATTTTGCAAAGATTTAATAATTAACAGATTAATTATACTTTTTTTTTAAATTGTTTAAGAGATTTTTATAAAACGCATTAAACTTCCGCATTTCGTTATAGACTCCATTAGCATAATATATCATTCCGTAGGTGTCGTAAGAGGCGACAGGGAAAATCTAAAACAGGAAATTATTAGCATCTTCCGGATATTACTACTTTTTTGTGTAATCGTATTACATAACGTTATATAATTTTACTATAATTATATTATTTCATCATCATATTTGATTATAGATTGTTTATTAATAGGTAAAGTAGCTCGCCTACAATGCACGCCTTGGTAACCTATTATTAACACAACATTTAGTTCCTAATCATAGAATGGAAATATTTTAATTTAACAAATATTGTATGTCTTCTTGGTTATACTTAAAAAATAATAATAAACCAATAAAATACTGCGGTACCTGCCCGCCTTCTAAGCGTGGACACTGTGGCAAATACCTCCTTCAGTCAGTTAGTAGGTAATGTATGGGTGAGAGAAATTTAGCCCACTCACAGACTTAACAAAAAAAAAACCAATAGAATATGCGATTGTTGTAACCACCCTTACTGTGCCTGAAGCCGGACAGCTTACGTAAATTCTACTTATTCCGATGATACCAATAGACCTACCCAACTCATTTCGTCAAAAACGGCTTCAACTCTTATTTTTATAGGAAAAGGAAAGCAACGAACAAATAGTCCACCTGATGATAAGTTGCCACTTTGTGACCCATAGACATCTACATCTATCCTCGATTAAGAATCAAAATGCAGATGCGTTATCATCCCTGAGGACTAAGATGTAATGTCTCGTTTCCACGCTGTAAGAGCGTGGTCGTTCCCCGGTCGAGCCGACCCACTCGTGCTATAACCATAAAATACTCGTAGATGCAGCATGGCTGTATCGCCTAAAAGTTCGTTAAAATGTTACTTATACTAAACCTCTAGGGATTTAAAAAAAATTACGTAAATTTACTTGAATTCATATTTATTAATGAAATTAAATTCAAATTTTTACAGTAATGATGTTTGCGGTAAAAAAATATCATTCTCTATGGTAAAATATATAACACAATTTGGATGGCAATAAATAAATGACTACTAACCTGGAACGCCATACAAGATGGGTGATTACGAAGCATGCACACGTACAATTCAAACTTGTTCAGTGGAATCTAAAGGTAAATTACTCTGCAATCTCCGAAAGGGTTAATTAACAACATCGAAAGGTCAGAGTCGGTCTTGAATTAAAGTGTTTAATTAATGTTTATAGTATTTTGGAAACCACCAATAGCAAGGTACAGTATGAAACTTTATAGCGGCAACACTAAATTATTTTATTTATTTACTTAATACTGAAAAATTGCCGTGAACAATTATAATGTCTAACAAAATATACTTAACAAGCATTAAATGGTGGTAAAGCTTACCCAATTAGCTTAGTTAAATCCTGTGCTTTCTTGCCTTGAAGACATCCATATTGTATTCTGATGGAAAGATAAAAAAAATATTCCACTCCTTGGCTGTACTTTGAAGGCGTGAAGAACAAACCGAAGAGACTCACCAAGAACCTGGGTATCCGACGATGGAAAGGGGAAACATTAAAATATGTAATTCAATTTATTCAATTTTTTAAAAGTTTAAACTATATTTTTAACTTTTAATCTATATTTATTTAATTGCTCATGTGACAGAGTAGCGCCGTATACTATATTTTATATATATATATATATATATATATATATATATATATATATATATATATATATATACACCGTACAATTATACTCTGTATTTTAAGGAGTTATTGCTATAATAGACGGAGAGGCAGAGCCAAAAAAAGTCTTTGAATTTATTAAGCCTGGTTTTTCCTCAGGTGTTTATAATCACAATTTACAATAAAATGCTGCGGTCAGTCAAGCGGACATTAGAACAGGTGTCTCAGGTGCGCGGTCAAACATGTCGTGACCACCGACATAATAAAATCAATGTCTTAAGGCTGAAAGTTTATGAACTTTTGTTTTTTTTTTTAATATGTAAATCAGAATTATGACAGTCAGTCAACGTGTTATGGGGACACAGCTGGCCAGTCAGCTGTAATGTACGTAGCGAGGTTTATAAGGGTGAAATTCGTTCATTAAGCGTGAATTTTTTTAGTAACTACTACTGACTATATTATTAATAAATAAAATGGTCAATCAACTTTTAACTAACTACTTTTACAGTCTCGCTCGTGACGTTGTACGAAACAGCTGACTTGTGTTTACGTTTACAAAGTTTTTTTTTTCTACCCTTAGTTTGAAATTATAATAAAAACAACGCAAAAATGCCCAAGTGTGACAACTGTGACAAACTATGGCAATGTGCATGCTACCCAGGCCTGCACCAGACTAACATCTAAGCAATTAGCAGCACTGCGCAACACTGAGAATCTAGAATGGACCTGCGAAGTTTGTCGCCGTGAAACTCCAAGGCAAAGGTCATTTGTTATACAAGAGGAGGAAGAGGAAGACGACGAAGAACTATTATTAACACAGGGAACTGACAGCGGATCCAACGCGATGAAAAAGTTACTAAGCGACATATCATTCGAGGTTAAAAAAGCAGTAAAGAAAGAAATAGGCTCAGTAAATGAAGCGCTCAGCTCTTGTTGTCAAAAAATGGATGGAATAATGGACACTTTAGCGACAATTAGCGGAAAAATAAAAGAACTGGAAAACAAGAATACATATTTAACAAACCAAAATAAACATCTAGAGCTGAAAATCGATGCTATGGAACAATACATTGGAAACCTTGAGCAAAAACAGCTTAATAACACATTTGAAGTCGCAGGAGTACCCGAAATAAAAGACGAAAATACGGAAATTATCCTAAATACACTAGCAACGAAGTTAAATATTGTAAAAAAAGAAATAAGTACAGTTAAAAGATTGAAGGGGAAAAATGGAAAGGAGGGCGTGATCCAGGTATCTTTCAAACAGGAGGAACAAGTGGACCAGTGAATAAAAGCAGCAAGAAAAGTAACTATACTTGCAGAGGACATCGTTTCCTGTTCAGATCCTGCTATAGCAAGAACAAAGATAATGATACGACGTGCCCTATCCAGTGCAAATAAAACCCTTCTGTGGCAAGCAAAGCAAAAACTTAAGGTTACTTATAAATATATATGGTTCCAGGGCGGTAGAATTTTAGTTCGTAAGAATGATAACGATAAGCCTGTGATCATCCGAAACCTAAGTGACATTGACAAAATGGCGGTGGAGCATATTGTAAGTCGATAGTAGAAACTTTACGCACTAGGCACTACTTTGGAAGTAACTGAAATTTATGATTCGGCAAATTTATGTGAATTTAGTACCTATCTACCTAAACATACTAATCTTTTTAATATTGTACATATAAATATTAGATCTATTATCAAAAACTTTAGTGCATTACTGCAAACAATAAACCAATCACCAATAGGTATAGACGTCATTATACTAACTGAAGTAGGAATTTCAATAAGTAGTAATCTCTCTCAATTATTTTCTATAAACGGTTATAAAATGTGCAGTAAGCTTCGTGAGCAGCGACGTGGTGGTGGTATTATAATGTACATTAAAAATTGCCACAGTTTTGAAGTAGTAAACAACTTAAAATTAACCCACTCATCATCATCATCATCATCACAGCCCTTCACAAGTCCACTGCTGAACATAGGCCTCCCCCAAGTAATGCCACAAAGCACGGTCCTGAGCCACCTGCATCCATCGACTTCCTGCATATCTTACCAGGTCGTCACTCCATCTAGTGGGGGGTCGCCCTACACTACGCCTACCGGTACGAGGCTGCCACTCGAGAACCTTTCTTCCCCATCGGTTATCGGTTCTTCGAGCTATATGGCCGGCCCATTGCCACTTCAGCTTACTAATCCGTTGGGCTATGTCGGTCAATCTGGTTTTACTGCGGATATCCTCATTTCTGAGTCTATCACGCAGAGAAACTCCGAGCATAGCCCTCTCCATAGCTCGCTGAGCGACCTTGAGCGTCCTCATACGGCCAGCAGTGAAGGACCACGTCTCTGATCCGTAAGTCATCACTGGCAACACGCACTGGTTGTACACTTTAGTTTTCAGAGATTGAGGTATACCTGACGAGAAGATATGTCGTAATTTCCCGAACGCTGCCCAGCCGAGTTGAATCCGTCGATTGACCTCTCGGTCGAAGTTGGACTTACCTAGTCGGACTATTTGTCCCAGGTAAACGTACTCGTCAACAACTTCGAGCATAGTGCTCCCAACAACTACCGGCATAGGTGTGACATGGACATTAAACGTAATCTTTGTTTTGTCCATGTTCATCTTAAGACCTATCCGTTGGGAGGCACTATTGAGGTCATTGAGCATAGTGCTTAAGTCCTCCAGCGATTCTGCCATAAGGACTATATCGTCGGCAAATCGAAGGTGAGTGATGTACTCGCCATTGATGTTAATACCGTATCCTTTCCAGTCCAGTAGCTTGAAAACGTCTTCCAAAGCAGCGGTGAAGAGTTTCGGGGATATAACGTCACCCTGTCTTACACCTCTCTGCAGTTGGATAGGTTTCGAGCTCTGGTTCTGTACTCGGATAGCCATCGTAGCCCTACTGTACAAACACTTCAGCACTTCGATATACCGACAGTCAACTTGGCACCGCTGAAGGGACTGCAGCACCGCCCAAATTTCGACGGAATCAAAGGCTTTCTCATAGTCCACATACGCCAGGCAAAGTGGCAAATTGTACTCTTCAGTCTTCTGTACAATCTGCCGCAGGGTATGTATGTGGTCTATGGTACTGAAGCCTTTTCGGAAACCGGCTTGTTCGGGAGGCTGGAAGTCGTCGAGTCTGCGTGCGAGACGATTCGTAATGACTCTCGAAAACAGCACGTAGACGCGGCTCAGAAGGGGAAATCGGTCTGTAGTTCTTCAAGAGAGCGTTGTCGCCTTTCTTAAAGAACAAGACCACCGCACTTCTGCTCCACGCCTCTGGAGTAGTGCCACCATGGAGGACGGAATTGAAGAGCTTCTGAAGGACTTCAAGTACCGGTGTTCCACCCTGCTTTCAGAAGCTCCGCTGTAATTCCATCCTCGCCTGGGGCCCTGCCGTTTTTAAGGTGCTGGAGAGCCATTCTAATCTCGCTTAGACTGACGTCCGGGATATCATCGGAATAGTGTCGGATAAGACTTGCTCTTGGATCGTTACTCACACTTGCGTGTGGCTCCAACGATGATGTGTACAGCTGCCCATAGAACCTCTCAATCTCACTCAAAATCTCAGGTGTCCCGGAAACGATGCTGCCACACTCAGTCTTCAGCCTTGACAGTTGGCTCTTTCTGGCAGACAGATCTCTGGCAAAGACTTTGGAGCCCTGGTTCCGCTCGATCGCTTCTTTAATACGAGCAGTATTAAAGTTGCGTAAGTCTCGCCGCATGCATTTGGAGATCTGTCTGTTCAGTTGCCTGTATGCTGTCAAATCTGTTGACGATTGCAGCCTCATCTCCCGTCTAACAGCCATGAGATTAAGAGTGTGATCGGAGAGTTTTTGTGTTCTTCTGCGGCGGGTCTTGCAGAACTTAGCTCCGACCGCATGGACAGTTTCCACGAGCTTGTCATTCATATCGTCCACTGCATTGCAATCTTGTAGGCACTGAAAGCGGTTGTGTAACTCGAGCTGAAAGTTTTCGGGATTTTGGATCAGAGCACGAGGGGGACGGAGCGTTGACTTCATTAGACGAGACCTCTCCAACTTAACGTTTAGGTTCAGTGTGCCTCTAACCATTCGGTGATCGCTGCCAGTTTTCACCCTTGCGATCACTGAGACATCACTGAACAGTTGGCGTCTGGTCGTCATAATGAAGTCAATCTCATTTTTTGTCGAACCGTCGGGGCTCGACCAGGTCCACTTCCTGTGGGGCCGCTTCTGGAAGAAAGAGTTCATCATAAAGAGTCCCTCTTTCTCCATAAAGTCGGCCAGCTGCTGGCCCCTTCGGTTCCGTTGCCCTACTCCAAATTTCCCTAACTTCAGCTCACCGCTTTCTCTTGTGCCTAGTTTTGCGTTGAAGTCTCCCATCAACACCGTGTAGTGGGTTTTGGAGGAATGTATGGCTTTGGAAATATCCTCATACATTTCCTCCACCTCCTCATCGGAATGTGCCGACGTTGGTGCGTAAACCTGTATGACCTTCAGCGAATACCGTTTGGTGATTCTGAGTATCAGGTACGCGACCCTCGTCGACACACTCTCAATCTGTACAACGTTGTTGACGAGAGACTTGTGGACGATAAATCCGACACCTCCTTGGGACAGATGGTCGCCCTCCCGGTGATAGAACAAGTTGCCGGATTCGAGAATCACCGTGTCCTCCCCCTCTCTTCGGACCTCGGATAATCCTATAATACTCCAGCGCAACTTGTCTATCTCTTCTTCCAGCTCCAGGATCTTCTCGTCAGTCCTCAGTGTGCGTGCGTTAAATGTTGCCAGGTCGAGTCGTCGTAGGTGGCAACCGAACCTCCACCGGAGATTCTTAGCACCCCCCTGCCCCGCCGTTACCATGGTCGCCACCGTAGCCAGGAATAGCGGGGCCGCCGGGGGGGCCGTCTATTTGTGTAATTGTTCATGGGGGTATATTGCCATAGTTGCCACGCTTGGCGAGCGGGTTGGCAACCGCAGTTTTTTTTGTCGTACAGTTGCTGTTATCAGGAAGATGCTGCTGCCCATCTCCTGCCTGTCTCCCTCTGTCGCCTCTTACGACACCCACGGGAAGATATGGGGTAGTGGATATTCTTAACCGCCACTACACGGCACAAAATTAACCCACTGTGAATCATTAATTGTAAACATCCAATCTTGCCACCACTACACGACTCACATTTGCGCATTATATCGACCGCCTAATGAAAGCAAGCATCTCTTTATTAATGAACTTAAAGTACTACTATGTCACAATTTAATCAAACACTCTGACTTGTACATAATCGGAGACATAAATATTGACCTGGAATTAAAAAATAACATTCATGATTACTACTTAAGCTGCTTGGCCGAGTGTGGTCTGACGAGAGCGATTTCTGATTTTACAAGAATAGAGATTCGAAATGAACAAATCACGCGGAGTTGTATTGACCACATATTCGCGAGATCGCGCACGTCTGACATCTACTCGGCTGCGCTTGGAACAGTACTGGCAGATCACCGCATGTGCGTGCTATCGTGCGCCGGAACTGAGGCTACTAGCAGCAGCGTACAGGCTGAGTCAAAACTCAAACAATTAATTAATAACAAAAAACTAATATCACTTCTCGAAAACGTCGAGTGGAATAAGATTGATAATATGCAGTGTCCGATAGAGATATATAACTTTATTCAAAATAGCTTTGAATACTGTTATAATAATTCTAAATATACTACAAAATATAGCATAAATAGTAAAAGAAATAAGGAAAGATGGATAAATAATAAGATAAAATTTTACTGCGAAAAAAAGAGACTACCTATATAACAAGTGGAAAAAAGATACAACTGATAAAATACTAAGACTAGAGTTTAATAAAATTAGGAATAAAACACATAAACTTATTGAAATGTCTCGAAACAAATACTATTATCATGAAATAAATAATAACAGAAATAACCCAAGGAAGCTATGGAATATTCTGAATTCCATCACAGGCAGAGTAAATAAATCATTAGATGCGGCAATATTAAAGGCTTTTCAAAAAAACAAATTAACAGCTAAACAATTGGCAAATAATTTTGGTAAAAAATTTGTTAAAAATGTTGAAAAAATACTGCCCAACTGTAAACAAAACCTTTTAGATCAAGCAGAGTACATATTTCCTCAGAATAGTTCAATGCGGTTTAAAGCAGCAGATGGCAAGAGCATAAATAAAATAATCCAGAAATTGAACACAAACAAATCCGCTGGAGCAGACCAGATTCGCTGTATAGACATAAAATCCTTATGTGAAAAAATCACAACAG